CATTGCGGAAGGCAAGGTGCAGGCTGAACGACGCTGCCGGTTGTGGCAACGAGAGCATATCCCACTTGGGCAGTGTTGTGTGCAGTCTCGTTTGGCCTCTTTACAGATACAGATGCGCATCTGCCACAGAGCATGGATGCTGCGTAAAGCACGGAGAAGTATGCAGAAGCGCCGTGCCGCACAAACGTTTCAGAGTTGTTTGACCACACGAGTTTCCTGGTTCAACACCTTTACACAGCACTCAGGCTGCACGATGCTTCTCCATGGAAGAGCACGCGTGTGCAAAACTCACAGTTCTCTGCCTAAAACCGATGCCCATGCGCAACTGCATGGGTATTCGGACACAGCCAGGGCGCTCCGGGCTGATAGGGAGTGTTTCATCGTACCATACTGTACAGCCCGAGCTGCGTTCCAGTACTCAGTGGCTTTCTGATGGTACTCGGAAAAATGAATGGCAGCTGAGAAAGGGTTGATGCCGTGGAGCCTACAAGTCAGCGGAACGAGGCAAACCCCATGGGTTTTGATCAGGCTCCCGCTTGAGTCTTGCGAAAGCATGAAGCCCAGCTCGACATGAATGCAGAGGGATGCGGCCAAAGAGTACGAGCAGCCGAAGGCGTCCGGCAAGAGCATTAGCCATCCGGCAAGGAAGTGATTTGAGTACACTTCTTGGCTGGAGCAGTTGGGACGGCGGAATATGTGGTTGAGGTTCTATTCCCAAGGGCGCTTCCGATTTCAGCCGAGGTTTTTGTCAGGTAGCTTGGACAGGCCTTCTTTGAAGGTGTAGCATGTGTTCTTGCAGGTGCACACGCAAGTGCTACTGGCGCCCATACTAGTATCATTTGGGGAGGCCAGAAGTCACTAGTCAGTCAAGCAGTGAGAGCCTTGAGCAAGTTTCTTATTTCACATGCTTCAGCCCAGAAACCGGAGTATGCTCAGGACAGCATGCGTTCGGCCCTGCATTTAGGCAGTCGACGCGAAGGTGGAAGAGAGATGGAAGGCTACAATCTAGGACCACATCGCGGTTAGGGCCTGTACTAGCCTGAACCCCTGCAAGGTACTCGAGGCACAAGCTGCCCAACGAGATCAGGCATGTCGGCTGGTGTTCACTTGTCGACTGCAATTAGGACTGGCTGCGTTTCGTGTGGATGTCCCGAAACGGATTTTTCCAGGCACCCCAACCTGCGCAAAACCTTGAACATTGCACAGTCAATGGGCGCAGAAATCTCTAGCATTGGTGGCACTGGCTGTCGGATGAACGATTCAACCCTGAACCCAAAGCCCTACACCCGGAGAGCCGCAAAGATCGCAATTCCCTGACAAGACCAACGGCGAGGTTAATGCAGGAACTCGAAATACTTTGTGTGAATTTGTGTGCATCAACGTACTATTTGTTCGGCAGCTGCCGATGCTCAAAATTCGGTAGACGAGAGCTGGCAGAAGTGCCTCGCATGCTTTGCCAATGGATGCGGGGCGCCAGTGTGCCAGCGATGCCGTAGGACTGGTAGCTCACAGGCACTGGCGGAGCGGGCTTCCCATTTTCGGAGATGCATGTTCGGGCTGCGAGGCTTGCGCGCGGCAATTCGGAGTAAGAAACTCTGCAGGGATCGTGCGGCAACATGTCTCTTGGATGCACTGGCGGCTCAAGAGCCCACAAGCGAGATCCTCATCGAGGCGGATATGCAGTGATGTTGGCAAAGAACCTGAAGAGATTCGCTGATGTTTGCAGCATTGGCAAGCGAAGTCCATGCCCAGCCATGAAGACTTGTGATTGTGATACTGGCGGAGTGGTGCTGTGAATACCCTGCCCTGCACCAGGCAAGCCTCTGCGTGAATGATCTGAGCAAAGCGGCTGCAGATGTGAGCATCGACAAGTGGGAAGCCATTGCCCAGCAGTTTGTGCCCAACTTCGTGCTGATGTCCACCAGGAATTTGACATTGTTAGTAAATGCATTGTCACATGCCCGTGTGAAGAAGGAACTCTGGGTTCCCGCTGCACTGACGGCTCTGAAGACCACGCCAAAGCAGGGCTACTCTTCCCAGGATTTGTGCGTGCTTCTGAGCTCCATGGTCCGATTGTCCTGCGATGAAGAAGCATCCAGGTGGCACTTTGGGAAGCTTTTGAAAAATGCCCTTGTGGTTCCTATAAAGGTATACACCTATTACATAAGTTTCTTTAAGGGCCCCAAACCTACAATGCAGGCGTTCATCACGAGGTTACTTTCAGAAGAATGCCTGCCTCGCGTTCCAGACCTTGCGCCTCGGGGAATCGCTGCCTTTGCCCATGCAGTGACCAAATTGGGGCAAGAAGCCAGGCCATTAGCAGTAGTATTATGACGATTAGTGGTGTTATTATTCGGGTCATGCGGTTACTAAGATGATGCTGATGATGATGATGATGATGATGATGATGATGATGCTGATGATGATGCTGATGATGATGCTGATGATGATGATGATGCTGATGATAATGCTGATGATGGTTATTATTGTGGTTATTATTATAACTATTATTATTATTATTCTTATTATTATTATTATTAACAGTATTATTGCCATGATTCTTATGATTATGCAGGGCAATGGACCATGCTGAAGCTCTTGTGCGAGCTTTGCTCCCGAAGCTGGTAACCTTCGTGGAAGACGGAGCCTTGCTTCCACTGGAGATTGCCCTTGCCATCGATGCAGTCTCGCGGTACGGTGATGGTGCTGAACCTCTTGTCCCGGGTGGGAGATTCAGAAAAGAATCAAGTGGGAATGCAGCAAGGACCCGATACTTCCCAGATCTTAAAGACCCCCCGCCAAGACAAAAAAAACCCAAGCCCTAAACCCTCTTCAGACCAGAGAGCCCAATACCCCTAAAATATTAAATCAGGGATATACCTGCCCTATTAATATTATGATTTAATGTATGTTCCTTAATTCAAGGGTTTTGGGCTCTCTGGGGAATTTTGCAGGTAAGCCACAGCTGCCAAAGTGGGCCGACAGGGCGACTTCGATTCTGGAAGTTGGTCTCCTTCCAGCAGTTTCGAGCTTAAAGCCCCTTGAGGCCATGGAAACCTTACACCCCAAACCCTAATCCCTGAACTCCCAAACCCTAATCCCTGAACTCCTAAGCCCCAATCCCTGAACTCCTAAGCCCTAATCCCTGAACTCCTCCTAAACCCTAATCCCTGAACTCCTAAGCCCCAATCCCTGAACTCCGAAGCCCCAATCCCTGAACTCCTAAGCCCTAAATCCCTGAACTCCTAAGCCCCAATCCCTGAACTCCGAAGCCCTAAACCCTGAACTCCTAAGCTCTAATCCCTGAACTCCTAAGCCCTAAAACCCGTAACTCCTAAACCCGACCATCACTTTCGGAAGCCCCTTGGGGCCATGTCGGGGGTTCTTAAAAATTGGGTCCTTATATTTGATGAGCTCAGGGTTCAGGGTTTGGGGCATGGCCGACTTCCCAGCTGATGATCAGGGGATGGGTTCAAAAAGAAGGGTATGAAATCATACTGCTGGAGGCACCTCAAAAAATCCTCGTTCAAAAGGTCTTTCCTTATGAAAACGTTGAGGCGGGACTACACAGGGCTCCATGCTAAACCGTTTGGTCTTGACGCTTCCAGGTGGTGATGGTGATTTCCGCGCTGTCCAGGCGTGGCCATGTTGGCGCCGACCTTGCAGCAGAGCTCTCACGTGCCATCGCTGTACATTTCGCAAAGTGGCCACCCGAAGAGTTGTGCATTGTGGTGCATTCCGCGGCGCGGCTCGATTTGCCTGGTTTGGTCGACGGCAGCACGGCACCGATTTGGTCAATCCTTCAGCACGTGGAAGAGGGCCCCATGGGCCACTTGCTGAAAGACTGCTCTTCGGACCACCTTGTGCTCCTGCTGCATGGACTTGCAAAACTGTCGGTGCAGCCTTCTGCGTGGCTCTGGGAGTGCGTGCTGGGGAGAGTTTCGGGCAACACTGACACCCTGTCGCGTCCGAGTGCTATCCGCCTCTTTCTAGCTGCTGCAAAAGCGGACTTCCGGCATGCTGCCATTCGCCGTGTGGTGCAACGCGAGGTCGTTGCGGGAGACTTTGCGGCTTTGTCGGAAGATGCTTTTGCTGCAGTTGTCTATGGGCTGCTGCATCCCTTCTACTATCGGAGACAGATGTTGCAGGAGTTGCTAGCGCACGCCGCCAGATCGCGTCCTGTGGACACCCAGAGCCTGGCGCTGCAGACCAGGTTGGGGCTCCTGCACTTCTTCTTCAGCACCAAAGGAGTCATGCCTTCTTTGGCTCAGATCTACATGTTGTTGCAGCTTGAGGCGAAAACGAGTGAGAAGCCGGAGTGGTCTCGCGAGTTGCGCTCTCGACCTTCAGCTCTGCAGGCCGAGGTCCACTTCCACGTCAATGCCATCGTCGGTAGCTCCGGTGTGAGAGTCTGCTCAGAGGTGCTCCTCTGGCCGTTCTGTCTTGACCTCCTATGGCAGCGAGTCCTGAAAAATCGTGAATCTGCCGGTGCCTGCCCACGAGAACCCTTGCCGTTGCCTAGATCCCGAATCGGGTGGCTCTAGTGTTTTCCATCTCAAGCCTAGTCACAGTTCTGCGAAATCCTTCTGAAACTCGGAGCCTCTCTACATCAGCTGTCCATGGCGCTTCTTCTTTCTGTCCTTTGCTTTGGCGTGGTCAGGATGGCGGCAGCAGCCCGGACAGAAGCTGCCCAGCTCCTGGGACCGAAGCTCGACTTCGAAGAGCCTGGGAAAGCAGACTGCGTCGTGCGGAGAGGGCAGTGCGAGCCGGGCGAGATTCAGCAGCATCGCAAGAAACAAAAGGTGACGTGCTGCCCTCCACCCCTCCGCGACCAGGATTACGCATGTGAGCTGCGGGCCAAAGCGGCATGCACTCCGCCGGCAGTGATTCTCTTTCAGCGCAACGAGAAAGAAGTGAAGTGCTGCACCAAAGGCACATTTAGCGCTACTACTACCACTGACGCAACGACCAGCTCGGCGACCACCACCACCACCACCACC